CTACATATGAAGTGACAATCGGTTGTTTAATTGTAAACAATTTGTCCAAAACATTGCAACACGAGTTGATTCGCTGTTTCCTCAGTGTTGTTAACGATAGCAACTGATCTGAGTCTTTAAACACTCCCACATCACCGATGGGTCCGTATTGTACGGCCAGTCCGTGCAGACCATCCCTACGTCTCTCTTCACATATACGCTCACACATGGAGTTTCCGAAAGCATAGTTTGATTGGCCGGGACTTCCTTTACCACAAGCCAGGGATGAGAAGACAACGAAGTAATTTAACTTATAGTCAAATTGTCGGGTTAGTTGATCCAGATTTGCGAAGATTTTGTGTTTCGTATCAATAGATGAGCAAAATTTTTCAAATGTAAGATTGCCTAATAAACAGTCATTCAATACAAGCGCCAAATGAAATACCCCTCCAATGGGTCCCAACTCTTTGGCCTCATTTAGCAATTGTTTTGTGCCTTCAATTGTGAACCCATTGGCAGTCGAGACAATCCATTGAGACTTAAAAAACTTTTTTCTTTCACCGAAAGCATGAAAGCGATTGTAAATAAATTTCTGATAATCAGTCTTAAGGCCAGACCGGGAGGTGACCACAAACTTTCGTGCGCCTGAATATTGCATCCATGGAATCAATTCCAGACCAAAACCACCCAAACCTCCGGTTATTATATAGACTTTGTTTGGATCGAAGTATGTCTTCGCGAGTGCTTTCATATCAATCGCCGGTTTAATTATTTTCAATGCATTTCTCTCCATCTCCTCGTCTCTCATTTTAATGACCAATTTTCCGATGTGTTTACCGGTTGTCATATAACGGAACGCATTGACCGCTTCGGCCGCCGGAAACACAGTTGTATTGATTGGTTTCACGCAACCGTTTGTAATGTTTTTGTGAACCCAATCAAAAAACTCGGGCATGAATTTAGAGTCAGTTGCTATGACTACGTCTAATACAACACTAATAAAGTCAATGTTGCGTACAAAATCAAACATGCCCAATTTTCTATTTTGAACCATATCGTAGCGACCCATCTCAACAATGCGCCCGTTATTGGCCACACACTCATAAGTGGCCACTAATTTCTCGCCCGACAGTGCGTTCAACACAACGTCGACTCCCTTTCCTTCCGTCGCTTCCATTATCTGATTCTTGAAGAGTATACAGTAATTAATTTATTTATCTCCGACTATTGAACCCCCCTCTAACATTTGAAGGGATAATCCAATTTTGATCCTGTTTTCACCAAAATAAAGAACAACAATTCCGATTACTAAATCCGAAGAGACATTTCAAATATCTCTATTTTCTACCGAGATAATTAAGTTTAATAAATTTTTACATAGAACATAATGTTAAATTTTAAAAAATCAAACTTATTTTTTAAGAAAAGTGTCATGTNACAATTCCGATTACTAAATCCGAAGAGACATTTCAAATATCTCTATTTTCTACCGAGATAATTAAGTTTAATAAATTTTTACATAGAACATAATGTTAAATTTTAAAAAATCAAACTTATTTTTTAAGAAAAGTGTCATGTGGGTTTTATGTAATTTTTAATGCTGATTCCAAATATGATACTAAAAAGTTTGTATCTTGATCTCTTCGGATTTAGTAATCGGAATTGTTGTTCTATATTTTGGTGAAAACAGGATCAAAATTGGATTATCCCTTCAAATGTTAGAGGGGGGTTCAATAGTCGGAGATAAATAAATTAATTACTGTATCTCTTGAGTTGAATATCTTATTCTCCGGTATATTGTATTCATTCATCAAAAACTGTTTCTTCTCTTCCGTCCCAACCGTCGCATAAATATCGCATTCATAGTGTTTACACACATTCATAGCCGCCTGACCCACACCTCCCGCAGCCGAGTGTATTAAAATGCTTTCCCCTTAAATATATATTTACATTAAAATAAAAATTAATAATTTAAATTCACTAATTTTAAATTACCATGTCGGAGTCTTCTCTTTCTGATTAAGCCATAATAAGCAGTACTATATGTGCTGAGTATAGAGATGGCCTCATCCATAGACCAGTGGTCAGGTATGGGACTGAATGCATGAGAAGTCGCATTTAAGGATGTGCTCAAACAACGACCCGAATCCATACCCATTACCCTTTCTCCTGTGTCTGCCCGACGACCAGCAAACTCACCCCCAATCATACAATCTTTGTATATTAGCTCTCGTCCAATAGGAATTCGTCCTAATTTTTTAATTACAAAAATATTACAATATAAAGCTTTATTATCAATAATATATAAAGCTGTTCAGAATATGGATTTATTTTTGGCCAAATATATTATGTAATATTTATCAAAAATGGTCAACTATTTGCTCATATATTTACTAAACAGGGGTCAAATATTTATTTACAAATCTCAGTATTCCAATTTTATATAAATTCTAATTAATGTATTCTATTAAAAAACTAACGAAATATTATCCTAGAAATGTTCGGTAGCCTTTTAAATCCTATTTAAATAGTGTTAATTAAAGTCATATTATATATTTAAATTATCTATATTTAAATTTTTAACTACAATTCAGTATGAATAATGTGGTTTATAGAACTATTACTGTGAGAACCCCTGCGTCTCTAGTCACGAGAACACCAGCCCATCGCCGCCCACAACAGCGACAGCCACCCCCGCGAGGTCACTATCATTTAGAGCTTAGCCAACTCCGGAAACCTCGCATTGATAAGTCTATGGGTAACGCTAAGTCTATGGCAATGATAAGTCTATGGGTAATGCTAAGTCTATGGCATAGGAACAACATGGGTAATCCTAAGTCTATGGCATAGGGATAACATGGGTAGTGCTAAGTCTATGTGAGTAATGTCATTTCAATGGAATAATGCTTTTTCTATGGAGATATACTAAATGAATCTAACATAATAAATAAAACCAATTCTTGTAAAAAACATTAAAAATTCTCAAAATAATAATAGTGAGAGTATTCTAACAATAGTATTGAAAAATTTAAAATCATTTAATGCATTTCCCGAATTGTGGTTAACGTATAGCATCGCTGTGTGAAGCTTGTTTATATTTAAATCAATAGTTTCGAAGTCAAAGTTTTCTTTTAACTTTAAAGCCTGAGATAATGTAATAACAATGTTGTAGTAAAATTTATTGTATTATGTGTATAAAAATGGCAAATGTTAATCATGAAATTGTCAAATCTTTCAAAATAATTATTAATCAAAAATAAATAAATTAATATTTAATAAATTTAGTAAAATTCTTATCATCAACAGTTCTCTATTTTGCTAAAATACAACTCCAAATTAAGAATTGTTCTCTAAAATAAAGCACAGGTGGGCACGCTATCCTTATTATGTAATTCGTTTGCCCCCAAAGTCCCAAACATATATCTTTAACCGATAAATACAGTATATTTAAAAACATATTTTGAACAGCTTTAGTAATATATAAGGCACATTAAATCTACTAATAAATCTAATGTCACATTATAGTAATACCTGTGGCAACCATAACGTCGTGAAATGATATTCCGGCGCTATAAATGTTAATCTTGTGTTTTGTCACTTCATTGCCAACAAAATCATAGCATTGTTTCGGTGTTGAAATAGATCTCAAATCATACCATTGAAGTCCCGATAGTTCCCGAGTTTGGCCTACATTTAAATAATAATCATTTGTAAAGACTTCATCACTATCTGTGGGTAAAGCAATGTGTCTATAAGTTCCCAGTTTTCCCCCTTTGATAACATTCGCGACCAAATCGTTGGCCAATATATCAGAATAGGGTTTAGTATTGAAGTCAATGTTAGTGTCAGTATTGGTGTCCATATGGAAGATATAGCGGCAGTTCTCTCCTCCCGGTTCTAAACGCAAACAATTCATTAAACCTATGATTCCGTTAATACACGAGTCATTCGCCACAAGCCATAAGTTATCGACATTATGATTACTTTCCTTCTCAAATCTAAGTTTTTGCTGCAATTCTCCGAACCATTGCTGATAATCACCGCTTATTTTGATTATATTGTCGTTTTTAGGGACTTTGACTTTAATATCAATTTTGCGCAACAATATGGCAACGGTTCCAATGCTATCATATTTTGTAGCAATTAATTTGAGACCCAATTCTGTACTCAATTTAATAAATTCATTAATTCTTGTTTTTAGTATTGAATTCTGAAAATATGAATCTCCCGTCAAAGACATGAACGCAATCTCCGGATCCGTAAACTTATACCGAAATACAAATAATAGAAATCCATTGTTGATTATAAAGTCAAACAAGTCTTGTGTAAATTTAGTCAAATCTATTTGCCATAAGTCTTGTGAGTCTCTCATAATAATCAAATGCGAGGGTTTTAACGGCAGGTCATCCTTAGGATCCCATTCAACAGCTTTACTCTTATAGATATCCATTACATACTGTTTTGACTTAACGACGAGACTGTAGTTTACATGAAAGGCAACGGCTCTGAAGAATGAGATAATTTGTTCCACTTCTTTGGCTAATATATTTCCACTCACATTAATTTCGGTCACATTTATATCACTTGTGTTTAAAACGTTTTCGCAAACGATATCAACGAGTGATCGAATGAGTCTCTCATTCTTCTGGATCTGATTTATAATATCTTTACTTAAATCGTATTCCGGTTTCTCTTGGATTTCATTCAATACTTTAGTCATATCTCGAGTACTCTTCATATTCTTGTTGTTGTCAACCATTTCTGTCAGCAATTTATTAAATATACGAAATAACACATGATTTTCATTGTTTTCATTTCTATACCCTTCGATCACATTATCAGCAATATTTTGATAATTAAAATCGCATTTCATTTCTTTGAAACCCATTTGTTTTACTTTAATCGCCAGTGATTTGCAAACCTTTTAAAGAAATAAACATTTATTCCTTATAAACAACAAAAAACATGGTACATTTAATATTTGACTTATGTACGGGTAATTGGACTGTTAATTGTACAAACTACAAAGTGCCTACCTCCAAATACTGGTTAACCATTTGAGTATCCACCAAAGTAATAGCATCATGGTCTTCATTCGCTAAAAACTGATAGGAATCGAGTACGAGGTCAGCGACCGGCGGATGGCGTGGAATCGGTAGTAATATAACGCCCTCCACTTCCAGGCCGTGAGCCACTAATCGGCGACATTTGGCGTCAAAATAAAAGGGCATTTCAGCCGAATATTTGGCGTATCGTTCAATGAATTTACGATTATGTGAATCCAATATAGACCTGCTCTTAGCTGTGCTCAGAAATGGCGACTCTTGTATCAAATCATTAGAGACTTTAATTTTATCGTTTGGACACTTTAATAGTAGGTTGCGGTTGAGCCGCAGGGCGTGAAACAATACACGCGGGTCCACACGTACCGTACGGATCATCACCGGAACCATTAGTTTACGGAACGGAACGGTGAATGCCATCGACTGTAACATTGCGTCCAAATATGTGACAAAATTTCCGTCCCATTCATTGATGCCATAAATGTCGCGGAAATCGTTGGTCTGAATGCGTTTCAGGCGTTGAAAGTGCGGTCCGTAGTCGAGGCCCAGGATTCCCAACTCCTTATATATGTCTTTCCTGTCGAGTGAGTACTGAGTACTGGCCATCAGTTTCTGTCTCTCGAGTATAGCGTTAGGCGTGAGTAAGACCTCGTCGTCCGGAGTCCGCACTTTGCCCACAACACACACGTTATCGTTCTCTAACACACAGAACTCGTCTGTAGACCATAGGGTTCAGAGAATATAAAAAGCAAAACCAATAAGTTTGATATATTATAAAATCTATAATATAATAATAATATAATATAATATAGATAATAGTTAATTATTGAACTATTAATATTATTATTAAGAAACATGGATCACACAGCGATACTATACGTTAACTACTATTGGGTGACGCTCAAAGAATAGTTTAGCATTTTCTACACACATAATTAAAGTCCATAGGATTAGCACATCCCATAGACTTGTCATTATTCGTAGCCTTTACATTAGTCCGATCCTATAAACCACATTATTCATACTGAATTGTAGTTAAAAATATGACTTGCCTGTGTTTTGAAAATATCTAACTTTCAACGTGGTCGTTATATTGTCTTTTATAAACACGACTTGTTTAAATTGAACATTTTCAAATACGACGGGCACCTGATACCACATCTTTCCAATGCTTGCCGCCAGTTTACGCCACGCAAGCATCAAATACCCGGTGCCCGGCATTATAACATTGCCATCGACCGCGTGGTCCAAATAATACACATCTCCTTTAGTACTAAATGTATTTATACTTATATTCATGTCCGACGCCGTTGAACGACAATATCTATCCGGATATATTATACGATTGTATTGGTAGTTATGATCCCATTTGAGCAGGCTGCTTATTGATTGTGTACCCCTGGCAACTGGCCACTCAACATTATGGTATATATTCTCAATTGATAGATTTATACCAAGTTCGTAGATTATTGCTAATGCAGACAAAAACATATCCAGATTTGTATCGTTGGAGTATTTTTTAATAAGCGATATATGAGTCGAGTTCTCAAGAGTTTCGGTCACTATTTTGCTGAACACTGAATGCGGACTTAATTCTAAGACAATCGCATCCAAAGGCAAACTTTTAAATTTGTCGTAAAACTGGACCGGATTTAAGAGATTGTATACGAAATACTCGGCCGAAGCGTATTTCAAGGCCTGATCGTCGGGATCGGTAGTCATGAGTGAAGTGGACACCCATTTCCGGGACCGGAGTCTCGGGTTTGGTATATATTTCTTAATGGCTTCAGTCATAGGCTTTGCAGATGTGATCAGATATTGTGAATGATATGGGATTTCACTGCTCTCTAACTGTCGCACAAATACTGTCTTTTCTTCCAATGTTTTAATCAATTCTTTCATCTCTTTTATCGGACCTTAAATTAAAAAAAACAATTATTTTAAAATATTTATTAGAGAAATACTGTAATTACCGGAAACAACAACAGTATCCTTTGCATTATTACAGACAACATATACTCCGTTTGGACACAACTTTATGGCCTCATTTCTGGAGAGCCCGACGACAGCCATCAGTCCTTTTGGTATTTTGTGATCGCTTTCAGTGACGGCTCCCCTGAAGTATGTGACGACCATTGCATCCCTTGTGCTGAGACACCCGTCAGCGTAAGCACAGGCTATCTCTCCAAACGAGTGGCCAATTATACCGTCGGGTGTGATGTCCAGCGCTTTCATCACTTCAAACAATGCTATCTCTATAGCAGTCGTCGAACAGAAAAACCTTTCCTAAGTCTTCCGGCTTTAATCAATCCATAATAAGCTGTACTATAAGTACTCAATATAGAGACGGCATCGTTCATAGACCAGTGGTCAGGGATTTTAGCGTAAGTATGAGTCGCCGCGTAGACCGATGTCGCGAAACAACGGCCCGATTCCATACCCATAACTCGTTCACCCGTTTCAACCAAACGACCGGCAAATTCACCACCAATTGTACAGTCCATGAATACAACCTCAGGACCCGATGGGATACGACCTGTATTTATGTAGTTATTATTAGTTACCACTAACTTTTACCATAATTATTATTTGCATACCTGTAGCCAACATAACGTCGTGGAATGAGAGTCCAGTGCTATAAATGTTTATTTTATTTTTGGTCACTTTCTGACCGTTGAAATCATATGTTTTTCGTTTCGGTGAAAGAGATCTCAAATCATACCATTGAAGACCTGCGAGATCTCGGGTTTGACCCAAATTTAGGAAATACTCGTTGGAAAGGACTTTATCACTATCTTTGGGTAGTTTTATGTGTCTATAACTTCCAAGTTTTCCCCCTTTGATAACATTAGCGACCAAATCGTTGGCCAATATATCAGAATAGGGTTTAGTCGTGAAGTCAATGTTTGTCTCACTATTGGAGTCCATATTGAATATATATCTAAAGTTTTCTCCTCCGGGTTCTAATCGCATACTATTGACTAACCCTACGATTCCATTAATACCCAAGTCGTTGGCCATAAGCCATACGTTATCGGTTTGATTGTCCGCCTCTTTTGCTGTAATCAATTTTTGCTGCAATACTCCAAACCATTGCTCATAATCTGTAGTAATTCTTATGACATTACTTTTATCGGGTATTTCCGACTCATTCACTATTTGTCTAAACAAAACACTAACGGTTCCGATGCTATCATATTTAGTACAAATCAATTTGAGCCCAATTTCATCACAAATTGTGATAAAGTCTTTGATCCGATTCTCGAGAAACAAATTATTATAAATCGCTTTTCCGTTCAATGAATTGAACGCAATCTCCGGTTCCGTAAACTTATACCGAAATACAGATAATAGGAATCCATTGGTTTGAAGGCAATCATAGATGTCCTGAACAAATGATTGCATATCCTTTTGCCACAAGTCTAGCGTATCTCTCAATATAACCAAATGTGAGGGTTTTAGGGATATATCGTCTTTTGGGTCCCATTCTGTGGCTCTATTCTTATACATATCATTGCAATCCTGTTTTGATTTGACCACAAGTTTATAGTCGACATCGTATGGCATAATACGGAAGAGTGACATAATCTGATCCACTTCTTTGGCCAAAATACCGGTCGAGAGATTAATTTCGGTCACTTTTATCTCTTTAATTGTTACAAAGTTTTCGCATACGATATCCACTAAAGTTCTAATCATGTGCTCATTCTTCTGGATCTGATTAATCAGATCTTTTTTGAGATCATATTCGGCACCGCTTTCTATATCTTTCAATACTTTCATCACTTCTTTACTGTTTTTCATATTCTTGTTTTCGTCGACAACTTCTGTCAGTATTTTATCAAATATACGAAACATTACATGATTTTCGTTGTTTGTTGTCCTATACTCTTGTATCACATCATCGCTAATGTTTTGGTAATTAAAATCGCATGTAATGTCTTTACAACCGATTAGTTTAATCTTAGCGGCCATTGCTTTACACACCTATTTGTTTAAAAGAAAAATAAACACATTAAACATCAATCACTTCATCAAACTAAACATACGCTCACTTACCTCTATATACTCAGTGACCACACGTTTATCATTGGTGTCAATGGCTTCGACGTCTTCATTGGGAAAGAACTGATACGTGTCTAACACCAGATCCGTGCCGTCACTACGTCTGGGTATAGGGAAGGCCATCAGGTCCTCCACTTCGATGCCGTGTGCGACGAGTCGTTTGGACTTTACGTTGAAATGAAACGGCATATCAGCCGAGAAGACTGAGAAGCGCTCTTTCTTACGGGCGATCTCTTTATCGAATAAAATTTTGGCTTCGGTGAGGGTCTCCTCGTCTACATGATTACTCACGTGAGCCATCTCTCCCCCGACCGCTATAGCCTTTCCGACTTCCGCCACAATAGAATTTTCGCTATCCATAGTTTCCATAGGCTTTTGTTCTACATTTCGGTTCCGATTGACGTTCTCGAAGAACACACGCGGGTCCACACGTATGGTCCTAATCATCACCGGAACCATGAGTTTACGGAATGGAGCGGAGAATACCATTGACTGCAACATTGCGTATCTCCCCCAACCGCTACCACCAGTCCAACGTCCGCCACAGCGGACTGTTCGATGTCTGTAGCCGTTTGCTCTACATTTCGGTTCCGATTGACGTTCTCGAAGAACACACGCGGGTCCACACGTATGGTCCTAATCATCACCGGAACCATGAGTTTACGGAATGGAGCGGAGAATACCATTGACTGCAACATTGCGTCCAAATATGTCACGAAATTTCCGTCCCATTCATTGATGCCATAAATGTCGCGGAAATCGTTGGTCTGAATGCGTTTCAGGCGTTGAAAGTGCGGTCCGTAGTCGAGGCCCAGGACTCCCAACTCTTTATAGATGTCTTTCCAAAATTTCCGTCCCATTCATTGATGCCATAAATGTCGCGGAAATCGTTGGTCTGAATGCGTTTCAGGCGTTGAAAGTGCGGTCCGTAGTCGAGGCCCAGGACTCCCAACTCCTTATAGATGTCTTTCCTGTCGAGTGAGTACTGAGTACTGGCCATCAGTTTCTGTCTCTCGAGTATAGCGTTAGGCGTGAGTAACACCTCGTCGTCCGGAGTAAATTTCCGTCCCATTCATTGATGCCATAAATGTCGCGGAAATCGTTGGTCTGAATGCGTTTCAAGCGTTGAAAGTTTGGTCCGTAGTCGAGGCCCAGGACTCCCAACTCCTTATAGATGTCTTTTCTGTCGAGTGAGTACTGAGTACTGGTCATCAGTTTCTGTCTCTCGAGTATAGCGTTAGGCGTGAGTAAGACCTCGTCGTCCGGAGTGCGCACTTTGCCCACAACACACACGTTATCGTTCTCTAACACACAGAACTCGTCTGTAAACCAAAGGGTTCAGAGAAAGTAAAAAGCATATACAATAAGTTTGATGTATGTATAAAGTTTACCTAATAGTTAGTTATTGATTAGTTAATAAAAATTATTATAAAAATATTCAGAAAAAAATATGACTTGCCTGTGTTTTGAAAATATCTAACTTTTAACGTGGTCCTGACATTGTCTTTTATAAACACAGCTCGTTTAAATTGAACATTTTCAAATACGACGGGCACCTGATACCACACTTTGCCAATACTGGCCGCTAGTTTACGCCACGCCAGCATCAGATACCCGGTGGCCGGCATTATAACGTTGCCATCGACCGCGTGGTCCAAATAATAAACATCTGCTTTAGTACTAAATGTATTTATGATTACATTCATGTCCGACGCCGTTGAACGACAATATCTATCCGGATATATTATACGATTGTATTGGTAGTTATGATCCCATTTGAGCAGGCTGCTTATTGATTGTGTACCCCTGGCAACTGGCCACTCAACATTATGATATAATTTCTCAATTGATAGATTTAAACCAAGTTCGTAGAGTATCGATAACGCAGACAAAAACATATCCATATTTGTTTCGTTTGAGTCTTTTGTAATAAGCGATATATGAGTTGAATTATCCAGAGTTTCGGTTACTATTTTGCCGAACACTGAATGCGGACCTAATTCTAAGACAATTGCATTCGAAGGCAAAAATTTGAATTTGTCGTAAAAGTTGACAAAATTTAAGAGATTGTATACGAAATACTCGGCCGAAGCGTATTTCAAGGCCTCATCGCTGGGATCGGTAGACATGAGTGAAGTGGACACCCATTTCCGGGACCGGAGTCTCGGGTTTGGTATATATTTCTTAATGGCTTCAGTCATAGGCTTTGCAGATGTGATCAGATATTGTGAATGATATGGGATTTCACTGCTCTCTAACTGTCGCACAAATACTGTCTTCTCTTCCAATGTTTTAATCAATTCTTTCATCTCTTTCATCGGACCTTAAAGTAAAAAAACAATTATTTTAAAATATTTATTAGAGAAATACTGTAATTACCGGAAACAACAACAGTATCCTTTGCATTATTACAGACAACATATACTCCGTTTGGACACAACTTTATGGCCTCATCTCTGGAGAGCCCGACGACAGCCATCAGTCCTTTTGGTATTTTGTGATCGCTTTCAGTGACGGCTCCCCTGAAGTACGTGACGACCATTGCATCCCTTGTGGTGAGACACCCGTCAGCGTAAGCACAGGCTATCTCTCCAAACGAGTGGCCAATTATACCGTCGGGTGTGATGTCCAGCGCTTTCATCACTTCAAACAATGCTATCTCTATAGCAGTCGTCGAACAGAACTTTGCAGTCATTGTAGACATCGATGTCTTGTCTTCTGATAACAACATGTGTTTCAAATCGACACCGAATTCGTGTAGTATTTGATGGCATTCTTCCACTTT